CACACACACACACACACATATATATACTTCAGTTGTTTGTAAGTAAGCACAAACTTACACAATGGGCCACTACGAGCATCGAAACCCGGATTCTAGCGTTGTAACTCCGCAGACATACCGCTGTGCTACTGTGGGGTCATATTTCAGTTTCTAGCAGTAAGCTTATAAAGCTAACATTCGAATTTCAATCCCTGCCGTGTGTATAGTGAAGATAACTTATGCTTAAAGCAAACATTACTCTTGTCGATGTATTAGCATAAAGGAACGCTAGAACAGTAGATGCTCTCAACGATTGATTATATAATATGTGTGTGTATTGAAAACTATAGACTTTGTGTTTTTTTCTGTACGCAGCATTGTAAACCTTTTATAGCTGGTACTCGCGAGTGTTCTTTACTCTTTATATTTAAACTTTAATGCAGATATACCGAGCTTTTTCTCAACAAATGTTCACTGTGATCCCCTATTGAGGAAGATCTCAAGTAATTAAAGCATATTTCACTGCTGGAAAATAAGCCCTTCTGTACTTGACATATTCTTTCTCTCGCCCCAGTTGTTACCTACTTTGTAAAATTTTATAGCGCCTTCTTGTGTACTGACATAAAACTTGTAATGTATGTTCATAAAAAAGCAGATGTGATTGGCATAAAGTTAGTAGACTAATATTTTTAAAGGTTCTTCTGCATAACAAATTCCTCTTTTAGAGAAGGAATCTTAAGATTAGAGTAACATTAATCTATAGGTATTCTGTAATTTGGAGAAATAATATCAGCGAACAATATTTTTGTTCATGAAATCGATGGAGTAACTTTTCATACTCTTAGTGATCATTAACATGGAACTATTTTGGTTATATTTACAGTTATATTTATAGTTTTATTCACATACAAGTTAAAACATGATTACAAAAAAGCATTAACCATAAATGTTCTCTCAACTCTATTCCATAAAACAGTGTTGAATATGTAAATATAATAAATGTCGCTCAAGAAGTTTCAAAAATAATGGTTACAGAAAAGTGCACAAAGTTTAATCCTAAAGGTAGACAATAGCAGGGATAGTACCCAACAGTATCTACCAAACACGGGGAAGAACCGGTAGACTGGTGACAACCAGGTCCTTAATTCAAACCATAACTTTCCGAGACATTCTACCATTCATTGTCTAGTTGTAGTCACTATCATACATTTATCGTATATAGAAAACAGACCGAATTACTAATATATGAAGTCACACAGTACCATATTAGAATACCAAACCAACCATCCTTAAAGTCATCCTTTATGAGAATGAAAAACAGTCACCTTTAAAGTGTTAATTAAAAGCTATAATTTTCCTTGAAAAACGCAAGCCGGACACACTGTGACTGTCCCAGATTGTGGTTAGTCATTCCTAGCTTGCTAATGAAGAATATTATATTTAACTGTGACTGTCCCAGATTGTGGTTAGTCATTCCTAGCTTGCTAATGAAGAATATTATATTTAACTGTGACTGCCCCAGATTGTGGTTAGTCATTCCTAGCTCGCTAATGAAGAATATTATATTTGAGTTTTGTTGTTTTTTATTTTCTACGTTAGTTGTCCCTATTTTTGAAAGGATAGGTTAGATAGAATGCAGCTATTCAACAACAACACCTACCATCAACTCTTGGACTACGACCAGAGGGATTTAAATGATGTAAATGCGCTTTTTGTTTAGCCGAGCATAGCGGGTCATAGAATGGTTCTGAGTTTTTTTTTCAAGTATAAACTTTTAGCTCCATCTCTTAACCAATTTGAGATCTAATTACAGGCGCGGTTGTTGAGGATCCCATTTTGTTTTAATAAGGGATTAAATTGCATATATAGCAATTTACTTAATGTTGAAATCCAGTTGATATTGATGGTACAACTCAATACCAAGTAACAGAAGCAAATTTTAATTTCTTTTAGACAAAACATTTTAGTGAGTCACACATTGTTAAATCATCTTTCACGCTTAGATTAAATAAGGAAATTCTTGTTCCTTCCGGTTTGCTTTTTGACCGTGACCGTGTTGATGTAGCGTAAAAAGTTTACGGCTAAAGCTGTGGTTCAACAAACTAAGATTTGTATGTGGAACGATGCACACATTTTTCTTTTCAGACTAAAGCCAAATGATATATGAGAAAACATCTTTACGTTCTCTGTTACAACTTGTACCCAAACTAAGCCGTGACTGTAACATCCGAGAGCCTTCGATAGGTCAGCGGTAAGTTTATGGACTTACAAAGCTAAAATGCAGAGTTCAGTTCCCCACGGTGGACAGAGCGCAGAGGGACCATTGTATAGCTTTGCACTACAAATATACTAACAAGCAAATACTTAACATCTGAGGCCGAAAAACCATTCTTTATTGTCAGAAGTACGATCCATTTATAAAAAGAGGATTTTTGCCTTATAATGTGATCAAACTGCAAGTCTTGTCACTCGAAACAGTGGTTACAGTTAGTTGTTCTTGGTCAGTCACATTTCTTCTACCAAGTGCTGAATATCTTAAAGCACCCGTGAACATACCTTTTTTCTTAACTACCCTGGACAAGTTGCGGTTTTTTTATGATAAATTGCTGTCAGTTTTATAATTTATTAGTGTTTTGGTATAACTCAATAAAGAGAGAGAATATCTTAAAGTTTAGTCAGTGTCAAAGTAGTCGACTAAAATATAGATTTCTGTTTGTCTAATTTGCTATATATATAATTGTTCAGAACCTAAAATATTTAAAGATCACTTGCTTATTGTTTTTTAAATGTTTTGTTGAGAGGGATTTATAGAAAAAATTAACATAACTTATACTAGACAAACGACAGAACTTTAGATATTTATTTTTTATCTTTGTAGTTATCATTCATATAACTTGCGGGATATTGACTGTTTATCAATAAGTAATACTACTGAAAACTGTTTTTTTAACTTCAAACTATGTTGTTACTACAGTATGGTAGTATAGTTTCTGTTATTTCAAAAAATACTTTATTTATTAGTTAAATTACTTTCACACGATAGCTTCAATATCTAAAAAAACTATTTAGAAGATTATTATGAAAGATGATGACAATATTTCTTATTGTTAAGTTTGTTGTTTAAAACGCCCTTTGAAATTGTGTATTGTTTGTTTGTTGTTAAGTGCAAATCTACACAGTGGACTAATTGTGCATTGCTCAGTGCGGGTATCGAAACCTAGTTTTAGCGTTATGAGCTTTCAGTCTTACCGCTGAGCCACCGAGGTGGTTGGGCATGTACATTTTGTCTCTGTTAAACATAAATTCTGTGTAATGACTGTGTTACGTATGATCGTATTAAAATTTTTGTTAACCTTTTGCAATCTCAGGGTGAAAAAGATCAACATATCATATTTACACGAACCTCAACTAGTTCAACATCATGGGGGAAATTTGGTAAAAATGTCCCTAGCTGGTCGGAAGCACGATTAGTAGATGGTGACTCTCCTTTCAAAGGAAGACTGCAATTATACTACAAAGAAAAATGGCGATCTGTGTGCACGAACTCAAAAAAGTAAGCTTTTGTGTTCCATGAATAAAAAATAATAATTTAATTTTAGTTATATAAACTTTTATCATTTTCAATTTTTGAAAGCTTTTGCTGTATTTTTACCATTTGGCAATGAATATGGTCATATGTTATGATTTGTAATTGGTATTATATTTATTTAGTGTTAGTACTACATCCTAGTAGTGTGTTGTATGCTATGTATTTAATATTCTAATTTAGGTGTCTTCCTGTTAGAGGGAGTTTTAACACGACATCTTGAAGTTTCCTGAATGTCTAGCTCTAACGTGACTATTCGGATTTTCGCAAGGTTTGGGGGAAATATTGATCTATACAAATAGGAGGGAGTTAATGTGTGAGTTATTATTATTATCGAGTCAGACTGTAAGTTGGTTAGTAAGTCAATTCAGTGCCCTAGATACAAAGAATATTTATCAAGTAAGTGACTGTTAAAGTTTATTTGTGAATTAGGCATATCAACGAATATAAGGTACAGAGGCGAAGAAATAAATAACTTTTCAATTTTGTCGTTGTTAAGTAAGACTGGGGCCCGGCATGGCCAGGTGGTTAGGGCGCTCGACTCATAATCTGAGAGTCG